CATTGCTCTTGTTCTTTCTAACAAGGTTCTGTTCATCCGCTCTGCCACTCCATTTTGTTGAGGAGTGTTCGCCACTGTGAACTGTCTTTTGATGCTTTCTTTCCTGCAAAAGTCATCAAATTCTTCACTTGTATATTCTCCTCCATTATCTGTTCTGAAACACTTGATCTTATTTCCAGAATCAAGTTCCACCCGTGCTTTGAAGTTTTTGAAAGTTGAAAACACATCTGACTTCTTCTTAATAGGATACACCCAACATCTCCTGGAGTAGTCATCAATAAATGAGACAAAATATTTTGCTCCGCCTAGGGATGTAACCGGTGCTTGCCATACATCAGAGTGAACCAATTCTAGAACACTTTTGCCTCTAGAATTTGATGTGTTGAATTTCAACCGGTACTGCTTACTTGTTATGCAGTGCTCACACAAAGTAAGTGATACCTTTGTTAAGCCTGGAAGTAGTTTTTGCTCCACAAGGACTTTCATTCATTGTTCTGACATGTGTCCAAGTTTCTGATGCCATAGCATTGCAGAATATGAACTACATGAGGCAACAGAGGCTTCTGCTTCTAGCAAAGTTTCTTCTTTTAGCATGTACAAGTTTGCTGCTATCTTTTTGCCTTTCAGCACCACAAGCGCTCCACGGAACACCTTCATGATTCCTTTCTGTGTTTCAATCTTGTTAGCATTATTATCCAACAATCCGTAGGATAATAAATTTTTCTTCAGGCCTTTCACGTGCCGCACATCTCGAACAACTTTAATTGTTCCGTCATACATCTTCAATTTGATGGTTCCCACGCCAACGATCTCTAAGGCATGATCATTGCAACTATAAACAGATCCTCCTGAGACAGGTTCATAATGATGGAACCATTCTCTTCTTGAGGTCATGTGATATGTTGCTCCCGAATCAATGAGCCATATATCTGCAAATCGTTTTCTTCCTTCTACGGCGGTTGATGCTTCACAGCATAGAGCATCTCCATCATCTGAAGTGTTTGCGGTATTACCTTGTGGATTGGAGTTTTTATTTAGACTCCAACAATCCTTCTTCAAGTTACCCTTCTTTCCACAGTTGTAACACTTTAAATTCTTCTTGCTCCTCGACTTCGATCTACCATGTTTGTGACTGCTGCTTTGGCCACGTTATGTTGATCTTCCTCTCATCGTTGTCATCGTTGTCAACGCTTCTGCTTGTTGCAGATTTACTTGTCTGTCTTCCTTGTTCTTGCGCCGATTTTCTTCTTGTAGAACAGCAGCTGCAACATCATCGAAGACTAAACTGGTGACATTACTGTTTGTCAAGTTGATGATGAGTTGATCGTATGAATCCGGTAGACTTTGAAGTAGAAGTTCAGCACGTTCTTGTTCTCCTATTTTACAGCTTAAGGATGTAAGATGAGAAAATAAGGTGTTCAGTGAATTTAAGTGCTCTGTCACTGAAGTAGATTATGGCATACGGAGAGTGTACAATTTCCTTTTAAGGAAAATTTTATTGTGCAACGAAGTGGCCTCGTACAATTTGGTGAGATGATCCCATATCTCCTTAGTTGTCTTCTTCTCCTCGATGCTTGACAATACTTCATCTGCTAATGCTAGATGAAAGTTTGCCATAGCATTCCCATCCATCTCGTTCCATTTGATGTCATCTGCAAAATCCACCGGCCTTTCACTGATAGCCGCTAGACACCCGTCTTTTCTCAGGATGGCCTTCATCTTCAATTTCCACAATGAGAAATTTCTCCCATTGAATTTTTCAATATCAAATTTCGTTGCCATAGCTTCTATTACGGATAGCTCCCACTATTTCACTATCGTGAATAGTTCTCTAGAACCTCAAAGAATGGGTAATAACTTCTTACTTTCTTATGTTGGAGGATCCACCTTTTGGTGGCAACCACAAAGACAATAAGCAGATATTACACACTCAAATCTGGCTCGGATACCAATTGTTGCGTAAGACGGCTATCGGATAGAGCAAAATCGCAACTGATAATTTGAGAAAATAAAAATGAAGATAAAAGAGACACAAAATTTATGTGGAAAACCCCTAAAAATTTAGGGTAAAAACCACGAGCAACGGTAGAAGAATTTCACTATGAGAAAATAGGAATTACAACTTCTCTCTATCGACCAAGGAGAAAACAATGATAATTCTCTCTTGATAAAAAAAGGAGAAAAACAACTCTCAAGAAACTCTCTAAATTCTCTCTAGTATTGGAAGAAAGCTAGAATGCTTTTGGGATGGTTTTGAAGCTAAATGAGCTAGGATATTTATAGTTGAAACCTAAGGACTAATTTGTAAATACCCTAAAATTTAGTGACTAAATTGAATTATCCCATTTTTTATATTTTCAACAAAAGGGGCCATGCACCTTTCGGTGCATTAATTTAGGCACCTTTCGGTGCTAGTCAACAGTTTTTACCTTATTTTTTAACTATAGGTAAAATCTACAAATACTATATATAATTTAACATAAACCTAAATTAATAAATTTAACCAAAAAACTTATAAAAAAAGTATACGAAGCAATTTCAAAGTCTAAACTCTAAAATAACAATTCACAAATATATCAAACTAGTAAATTAATAGTAATTATTAATTAATAATATTCCATCTTTTTTATTATCTATTAATAAATTAGTAATTATTATTGAGACTCCTTTTTTTAAAGATAATTATTAAAACATTATAAAAAAATTAACTAAATGCTCGCGAATTTATCGAGTCAAGTTGGACCTCACTCAATTCAACTCTTTAAAGTAACGAGTCGAATTCGAATTCAAATCAAATTAACATAAATCAAATATTAATTAAACTTTAATCGAATCGAATTCAAGCAACTCATCAACTACTAAACTCAACTCATTGATATCCTGTTTCAATCTCTGGTGCCTTGAATAAAGATGGGGCAATGCTAATGGGAGAGTCTTCAATGACCATTTTTCATGCGAGACATGAAAGGAAAGGAGGTTAGTGGTAGTGGGAGATATCATCATATCAAATGATAGCAATCAATGACCAAAAAACATGTAAAATATGTGGGAAATGGATCCCACTAATCATACCCCCACCTCTCCCCAACAAGTGGAGGTGGTAGTGGCCGCTGACGGTGGCTAATCATAATGCATCATCAAAAGGTGGCAGCACAGCCTCCCCAACTTCTCCATTCAAGTTTCGGGTTGTCTCATTGTCTTTTCCTTTTTTTTTAAAAAAAAAAGTATTCTTTTATTGTAAGTGTGAAAGTGATTTTTGTTTTTAAGTTAATAGGTTTATTCTATACATCTAATCTTTCAAAAACATTAATAACAATAAAATTAGAAACAATAATTATAACAATTACTCCGTGAATTAAGAAGATAACATCCCATATAAATCAATTTTCAATCTTCTATTAATAATTATATTGAATTTAAAAGAATTATTCGAAAAGAACAAATAAACGTAAAATAACTTACAAAGATAATAGATAATCTTAATTACTAGAAAAATATTAATATTTAAGATCAGTTCAACATTATTCTTTTCTTATATGAATAAAAATTGAAAATTTAATTGTAATAACATCGTTATGCATACGCTAAATTTGAAAGAAATTGATACACGATCAAAAATAATAATTTACAAAGCAATATAAAGCACCATATACACATACGCATGAATCAGCTTTCATTTAAATAAACCTCTAAGGTTTATATAAAAGAGAAAACGTAAACAAAATTAAATTAAACAACATTAATTTAATTAAAAAAATAATTAAATGATGAGTTTATTGAATGATCTTAGTAGTTAAAAAGAGAGTATTATTTTTCTTTGAAGTCCTGAGTTTGAGCAACTACATCTACATAGAGTGTCTTATAAATGATTAAGAAAGATTATAAACATATACTACCTTGTAATAATATCAAACTATTAAAAAATAATTAAAATATCTTTTCTAAATAATAATTAATTGATATTATTATGATTAGTCATATTATGTTTTCATATTTTTATATAATTTTTAAATAAAATAATTAAAAATTTTATGATGATTAAACATATGTAATAAGATTTGTATGTAAACTTTTATCATTCGACCATAAATTATTAAGTAAATTTAAGTGTATATATATATATATATAATAAAATGCTTCATAAATTATTATGAAGTCATTCCCCCCCCCCCAAGAGAGTATTCAATCATACACTCTGAAATTCAATAGTAAAAACAAAAAGATTTAGCATAAAACAATATATTATACTGTAGAGAATCTAAGTTTAATGGAAGAGATAGCCATAAATCTTGAACATAAATATGAAAAGAATATATAAAACCCTTTTAACTCCGTAATTAAACCAATCGTATCAACACTAATCTTTCTGTTTTTTTAACAAGACAGAACAAACAGTACGTCAATCATGAAAATTTCCAAACATGCAGGCTCTCATGGCTTTGTAAATCAACGCCCGGAGCATAACTTACAGCTAAAGTTTGCTAAGGATAAAGTCAAACAATACACACAAAATGTTTTTGATGATGTTTATTTTATAATGAGAAACAGGAAAAGCAAAGGAAAAAGCACGCAAGAAAATGTCCAAAGATTACAACTCCTTTTGTTCCCGCTTTTTGCTCTTCTTTGTTCCTATGTTCTAATGGCGGGTTTTGACTCTTCAAGCCCCCAAAAAACCCCAAGTTGGCATACAAAGCAAAGCCAAACGTCAAGAAAACAGTAACGTTTAGTAGATTTTCTTAGTACATTAGAAGTTTGATAAATAAAAAAAATTAAGATTGTGGAGAAGAGAGAGAGAGAGAGTAGTACAAGAGGGATATAGATCAAGGGGTGATAGAGAGCAGTCTTACTTCTAAAAATTTTAAATTACCATATATTTTAAATATTTTCTAATATATTTTATTCTCCTATAATTTTATAAGTTCTTACTCCTTAAAATTCCTTAAAATTTAAAAAGTTGAACGTCAAATATAAAATTCTACGTACTGTGTACAAGAATGACCCACCAAAGAGGCCCAGTGATTTGGCCGATAGTAACCAATGGTTCATAAAAAATGGCCGAAGAAGTCAAGCAAACAACACATACATCTCTAAACTAGGATTCCCTCTTTGTCTCTCTCCCTTCATCTTTGTCTCTCCTGAAAGTTCACTCACTTTTCTCTGCCAATGGACAAGCAGCAACAGCAGCTGTTCTTATCAAAGAGCACCAGACAGCGTTGCAATGAATGGTACAAGTTTGATCTTTTACACTCAGGCAGCTACCTTGTTAACTGGTTTTTTTGTCAAGATTTTTGGTCGTCTTATCTTCAATCTACTAATGTTTTCCAAGTATTACCACTCTTAATTGTAGGATTTTTCGAGATGTTCCAAGTGATATCACAATAGAAGTAAATGGAATCACATTTGCTCTACACAAGGTAATTTGTTGCCTTAATTTCTTCACTTCCAGATTTTTTTCATATATATATATATATATAGTTGGTTCATATGTGTGTGTATGCAGTTTCCCCTCGTCTCACGGAGTGGGCGAATTCAGAGGCTAGTTGCAGAACATAGGGATTCCGATATGTTAAGAGTGGAGCTTGTTAACATACCTGGAGGTGCCGAGTCGTTCGAGTTGGCTGCAAAGTTCTGTTATGGCATTAACTTTGAGATAACATCCTTCAATGTGGCTCAGCTCTACTGTGTTTCCGATTACCTTGAAATGACCGAGGAGTTTTCGAAAGATAATCTTGGCTCTCGTACCGAAGAGTATCTCGAAAGTGTCGTCTGCAAGAACCTGGAGATGTGTGTTGAAGTTTTACAGCAGTGCGAGAGCCTGCTTCCTCTTGCAGATGAGTTGAAGATAGTTAGCCGTTGCATTGATGCGATCGCCTCAAAGGCTTGCGCTGAGCAGATTGCGTCGAGCTTCTCTCGTTTAGAATACAGCAGTTCGGGCAGACTTCATATGAGCAGGCAAGCGAAATGTGAGGGAGACTGGTGGATAGAAGATCTTTCTGTTATTCGGATTGATTTGTATGAAAGACTCATTACGGCTATGAAATGTCGCGGCGTCCGTCCCGAAAGCATTGGCGCATCCCTTGTGAATTTCGCACAAAAGGAGCTGACAAAGAAATGCAGCTTGTGGAATCCGTCAGGCCATACGAAGGTTGATTTGGTTTCGACTGATCATGAACAGCTTGTGGTCGAGACAATTGTTAGCCTTTTACCAGTTGAGAAACTTGCAGTGCCTATCAGTTTCCTATTCGGGCTCCTTAGAAGTGCAGTGATGCTTGATTGCTCTATTGCTTGTAGGCTCGATCTAGAGCGGCGGATCGGATCACAGTTGGATATCGCAACCCTTGACGACATTTTAATTCCATCTTTTCGACATGCAGTAGACAGTACCTTATTTGATGTCGATACAGTTCAAAGGATATTAGTGAACTTTTCACAGCAAGATGATAGTGAAGAAGATATGGATGATGCATCAGTTTTCGAATCCGATAGTCCTCGATCACCATCCCAAACTGCATTGTTTAAAGTTGCAATATTAGTGGATAATTATTTAGCTGAAATTGCTCCTGATGCAAACCTCAAGCTTGCAAAGTTCATGGCAGTTGCAGAGACATTACCCGAACATGCTCGGACTATCCACGATGGGCTATATCGAGCCATTGATATTTACCTGAAAGTATGCATGCTTATATTTTCCGATTTCGATAACCTTTACAGGCAACTCCCTAACTTTGTAATGAATGCATTTTCAGGCTCATCAAGGCTTATCAGATGAAGACAAGAAGAAGCTCTGCAAACTGATCGATTTCCAAAAGCTCTCACAAGAAGCTGGTGCACATGCTGCACAAAACGAACGACTTCCTATCCAATCCATAGTTCAAGTTCTTTATTTCGAGCAATTAAGGCTTCGAAACTCCTTGTGCTGCTCGTTTCCCGAGGATGACCCCAAGCCAGTGGTGCATCACCATTCTTGGAGAATCAACAGCGGAGCACTCAGTGCGGCAATGTCCCCAAGAGACAACTATGCATCTTTGAGGCGAGAAAACCGGGAGCTTAAACTCGAGCTTACTCGGATGCGGATGAGATTAAACGATCTGGAAAAAGATCATGTTTGCATGAGGAGAGATATGGTGAAGTCTCGTTCACATAAATTTATGAGATCTTTCTCAAAGAAAATTGGTAAACTAAGCTTGTTTGGACATAGCTCTTCAAGAGGATCAAGTTCCCCTTCAAGGCAGTCATACAGAACTGATTCTAAGGTGATTGAAAGAACATGTGCAAGCACTGATTAGATGTTTGAAACGGGTTCTTTTCCCTTTCTTTGTCGATAAAGGCCATGGTTTTCGGTGACCGTCTATGTTAATGTTTTTTGAACTTTTTTTTATCACGGTGGGGTCGTTGTTAATCCCCGGATGGTTGCCTTGATGCACTGATTTCAGAAGACTTTCCTCTCCTTCAATGGTTGCCAATCATTTAGTTCTTCAGAAAATACCTGTAAGAAACTGTCAAGGAAGAATATAATACATCCTGTTGTTTGTTCTCGTACTCTTTCAATCATGGCTGTAGAACCCGTTTTGTCAGTTAAATAATGCCAGTCTTTCGAGAAATGCTTGCAATACAGATAACTTGCATCATCTCTTTTCATGATTTTACACCCTGAAAGGCATACCATGGACATTCAAAGACGTTGGTATATTGATTTTGTACCCTAAGCTAAATGGAAGTACAAGGACTTGCCGAGAAACCATTTTCCGGGATTGACGTTTCCGGTCACTTTATCTCAAACAACTCGTAATCCGTATATGTCAAACCCAAGTAACTCAGCACAAAAGTCCTAATAAGGTCTAAAATTGAAATAAAGATTAAGACATAAATTTATATGCTACCATTAAATTCGGATGCTTTCGGCGGGAACTAGAACTATTTCAGACCTCCATGATGAGCACAATGTGGGAATTATGCCCACAACTAGCATTTGACATGAATTTTGCTCATAAACCAATGGACCAAAGTGCAGAACATGGTTGGTTTCAAAAGGACTTATTTCAAGGTTACCAAATGAGCAAGAAAATCAAGTTTTTCAAAAAAAAAATGAAACAATCTTAGATCGTACATCGAAAAGCCGGTACCGAGAACTGGTTGATGGACAAAGCAAGCACATATGCCACATTCCCAAAAAATTTAATCTAAGATAACCTTATTGTGAAGAACTTTTTCCAGCCATCTCTTGTGGTCTTGGTGCTTAAGCTGGAGATCTGGTATAGAAGCGGATGCCGAAGGCCAATCCCAAGATTAGGAAGGGAACGAGGAATTGGAGAAGCTTTACAACGAATTCCGTGGTCTTAACCTAATCATAGTGAGGCTGCTTCGGAGGAGTGTACTTTGTCTTGGTGGGGACGGTTGATGTATCAATGTCACCCACGTAAAACTCATCCAACATTGCTGTAGCACTGCTGCTATGACCAACATCCTCGAAATCATCGGTTGCATCATTCCCTGCCAGCCATACACCATGCCAATGTTATTTCCACCTTTCCGCAATAATTTGGACATCAGATTATACAAAAAAGGTAGAAAAAATAAAACATCTGTCGTGCCGGTTGCAGACAACAAGACTTCATCACCTCCGGGATGGTCCTCCAAGAATTTTGTTACATTGTATACCTGTTCGAACATAAGAAACGAGAAGGGGATCGAAAATCGGAATGGAACATAGAGCATGGTTCTAAATCAAAAGCTGAAAACTGCTTCATGTTACTACAAGTTCGGCACTGATTTATTATTGCAAGTCTGCAACCACCGGAAGTACAGTAGACAGTTCAAAAACTTGGCCGTGAAACGGAATGAAAAGTACATATCAAAACAATTTAAACATTCTTTACATGCCAAAGACCAACAAATACCCTGAAAATAGAGGGAAAATAAACAGAAAATGGTTGATCTCTTTTTATTAAAATCATCACCAACTACCAAAAGAACACAGTGCACATCATCCATCATGCAGAACTAAAAAAAAATTATTGAATTGAAGGGTGAAACAAAATCTAACGGCAAAACAGGGCGTATCAATGGTTCAAACCACAAGCTGTATTGAGGTGATTACAATGTGATATCTTCTCAAAAGTTTTCTTAGCCTATTTGACAAGTCGCACATACTTGCAAGACACAGCTGCTCAAACCCGGATTCTCAGCATTCTCTTTTACCAAAGATTGTAATATTGAATCTGAGTAATAGTTTATATAATTCATATAGGAAAGATAGACTATAAAGTAGCCTAAGCTTCTACAGATAAGTCATTTATGCAGTGAGTATAAGTGTCAGCCTTTAGGAGAGATCCGAATTTTCTTATCTTCCCCAAACCCATTAACATTCAAATCTTTTAACTTCAGGATTAAATTAAAATATCAAACTTTTGCATCTATAAACAAAAGAAAGCATTTTTTTTAACCGGAAAAAGAGAAAAACAAGCCCAGATTGGGTGGAGGGTAAACTAGAAATCCAAGAAAACGTACCGAAAACAAAAGGATGTACTACCTTGCCCCCAATGACAAGCCAGCAGTCTTTAGTATTGTTGTGTTGACTAACGTCTGCCGAGGTATAGGCCTTTCCTTCTCCACCCATTTTTCTCCCCTTGATTTTTTGCTTGTTTCGGGAGGAAGAGCAGGGATCTGCTGAACAAACTACAAGTTAATTGCTGCCGTCTTGTGGACCACGGACTTTAGTGTGTTGGGTTTTAAAACCCAAAAATTTAAAAAGTTACAAAATCGAGGCAAATCAATCTGATTCGAATAGTTTAATTTATGGTAAAATACGTGCTTAGATGCACAACTATATTTACAGTTCTGTTTTAGTAATTCAATTATTTTTTACTTCAAAATCATACCTAAATTTAGGTTTTGATCATCCGTCATTAAAAAATTAATGATAATACTGATGTGTCACCATAAGATAATGTCACATCACCATTAAAAAAAGTAAAAAACAATTGTTACGTCAATGAGTGATCAAAATGAAACCGGATGAATAAGTAAATGAGTAAATCGATGTAGTCAAATCATTTTTTTCTATAAACTTAATTAACAATATAAGTATGATATAATTTCTTGTTAGGAGAATAATTTTTGGAACTGTTGTTCATAGGTTTTTAACCTATTTAGGTAACTGAGTTTGAGGTTTTGTTAAACCATATTTTTTCTTCTTCTTTTATGTGGAAATTTAGATGATTTTCATAGATCAAAATGTGATTTTTCCATATCCATACCCCTCTGATATAGTTGAGTTATGCGCTAAGAGAACCAAAGCCTTCAAAGTAATCTATCTGAAACTGAAAATCTAAACATTCTGGCAAACTGTGATGATTTTCAAAGTTTTGAGCCCTAAATCTTAGCTTTTTGGTAATTTTTTTTATTAAACATAATTCCATATATTAGTATTATATTTCAAATTTAAACTAATGTTCTAAATTCATCAAAATTTATAAAGGATTGTGAGCTTTGATGGCTTAAAAGTGAACTAAATGGCCATGAAAATTTCCAAAAGAAGAATGTATTGTATTAATGTTTTTACTTTATTTGATAAGGAAATTCTTAAAAGAAAAATCTATATTTTAGTATATTTTTTATTTTATAAAAAAAATTATTTTTTAAATGAATATAAATTTTAAAAAAGTAAATAAATTTATTTCATCTGATAATTTTATAGAAATTATCGTTGTCTGTTAATAATATGATTTATAAATTTATGTATCTTTTTTATAGGTATATGTTGATATTTTGATATCAAATGAATTTTTTTTAAGGAATTTACTAATGGTATATGTGAGAACAAATTTGATTGGAGAAATTCGAAGAAAATAAATTTTGAAGTTGAGTTAAACCCTCAAAGTAGCTTACTTGAAGTTTCTGAACAAATTGTGACGATTCTCAAAGTTTTGAGCTCCAAATCTTAGGTTTTTGGTGATAAATTTTTATGAAATAGAATTCTATATTATAGTATTATATTTTTACTTTAAATCAATGTTTTGAAGTTATCAAAATTTCTAAAGGATTATGAGTTTTGATGGCTTAAATTGAACCAAGTGGTCATGAAAATTTTGAAAACATAGAATGCAAAATCTATGTTTTTAGTTGTTTTAATATTACTTTTAGCCAAAATTTGTTTTATTACATTATGTTTTATAATTTTCTGAATTTTGAAAAATTTAAATGTATTTTACAAAATTATAGAATTATTGTATATGTTTAATTGTTCGAGTTGTTATCACATAATTATAATATCTTAGAATTATATACACAAAGTCATAATTTTAAAATTATAATTTCTTAATAAAATTCTTATTTACAAATGGCTTGGCTTGTCCCTTCTTCCCATATGTAATGGGGTAAGGGGGAGATAAGATAGCAGGTTGCCCCCAACATTAGGTTGAGTTGGTCAACTTCCGTAGGAGACCCTCCGAATTATGAAATGCCCTCCATGAGACTCGATCCCACGACCTCAAAGTTAAAAACCTTATCCTCTACCAACTAAGCTGGATGGTCATTCTAGGAGATTTGTACAATTGTTGCTCAAGTTTCGATTTAACTTATCAAGAAAGTAACGTAATATTGTTTTTACTTTTAGTTCCCCAAAAAATTGGCCTCGAATGATTTACGTTATTATATTGTGTATAATTTTGACAATGTTTTATGAAATTTGGTCTGAATTGTCACATCAGTATTATAATAGTCAACGACGAAAAACATTGGTTAGAGGATCATATTGAATTTATTTTCTGAGTTGAAAGACTACATTGAATACAAAAATAAATTGAAGGCTACATTAAATTTCTTTTTAAAATTACAACGCCCTCGTATGCCTTTTTGCCTAAATGTATTCAAATATGTTTTGGTATGTAAAACATCTTTTGATGGCGCATTCTTGGTTTCCTCCGGAGTGGCGGCAGTGGGTATCCTTTGGGGATTATGGTAGTGGCTGACCAAGCCCATACGGTTCTGAATCTGGCTGACGCTAGTTTGGTGGAAGCTGGGGTGATTATTGGATTACACTAACCTTGGACCATCATTGAGATTTGAGAGTAATGCCGCAAACATTGTTCCAACTTTTGCTGCAACATGGATTGGATTTGTGGGTGCTTCATTTCCATCTCCAAAAAGCTTCACACTTGTTCATGTCTGTTTCAACCCACGTAATGCCAATGGCGCTGCACACACGTTTGCGCAGTGGGCTCTTTTTAATTTATCTCATCTGTATCTTCCATATGATATGCTTAGATTGCATTGTAAACATTGTAATAGCCCACTCAATTTTTGTTTATTGCATTTCCCCCGTTCACTTTCAAAAAGAAAAAAAAAGAACATCTTTTGAGAAATATATTTTTGTATTTAACGAGAGATGGAAGGTGAGGTGGTGGATGGGACAAGCATCTCTGAAAATTTAAAATTATTATAAATTTTAAGTTTGTTTTATGTTTTTTAATTAAAAATTTATTTTCGCCCCTAGAACTTTATAAATTCATCATCTTAAAATTTTAGAGCTCCACCCCTAATATAAAATCATACGTCCATCCTTGTATGTCACTATAATTTTCCTAAGTTTGAATAACCCTATTTTCATTCCTCCATTCTTCCTCTGAATGTCCCTATTAAAACTTTTACTCAAAGCCTCAAACCTAGTATGAAACTACGTTATTAACCTCCATTGATAATACATCTCCAACATCTACACTCGTTAAAGCATTAATTTCATTTTTAATAACCATTTTTTTCACTTAAGGATTGCTTTCAAAAAAGGAAGAATAAGATCCTACGAACAAATAGACGCAGAAGAAATGAAGTTGAGAAGGTTAACCTGGAATATGCCTCTTTGCTTGGTCACAAAGCTTGTTGCTTAAAGATCGCAGATCAACAAAAATGTTCACATTTTTTCAAGAAAAATACATTTATTGAGCTTCTTTGCTTTTAAGGATTTGAATAAGCATTCCTTTTTTTCCCATGTACTCGATTTACTAAAATATTATTTATCAATTGATGTAATAAAATGAGATTCACGTCTCTTAAATAAAAATCAAGAGTTCAATTATGTCAAATAAAATATCAAATGTTATAAATAATAATAGTAATTAATAACAAAATAGCTGAAAATTTAAACGGACGAATTATTTCTCTTTTTAAAACATATATAAATTATTTTATCTATTTTTCGGTGGAAAAACAAAAAATATAATTTAAAAAATTATACGGAAACTGTTATAACACTTCTACCCCATATATCATGTTTAATATTATCAAGTCTACATATTTGAATAAACTATAAAATAAACATCGATATTGACAAGTTGTTCAACCAAATCAAACATCCAAATGTACAAAAACACATAAGAGGATAATATTATACCCAGACATGATTTAATTAAAATAATCGCGTTCAGACTCAGCACACTTCACCCAAATATTGTATTTTTAATTTAAAAAGTAATATAATATAATGTAATTTTATATTAATATTAATATATTTTTATAATCAAATTTAAATTAAAATACATCTTAATTATATTCAACCAGAGTAAACGAATCACCCAAATCATGAACGGATCTAATTTAAAAGAATTAAATTAACAAAACACTGAAGTCGGATAGAGTTATTCAAAATTTCATAATAATATTTTACATTATCTAAGAAATAGGTGGTGGCATTACCATACGTTCTGCAAGGTGGATTCTTCGAATTGGAGCTAATTTGCTGATTGCAAAATTCCACAAGTCGAGAAAATAACCTGTCCCTCTGTCTTTGATACATCTAAGATTTCTTCTATACCATGCATACATCTCTAACAATTTAAATCATTTTTGCCTCAAACAAATAACGATTATTTATTTATTTATTGAAAATTTTATGTACATGAATATAAAAATAAAACATGACAGTAAAATAAAACATATAATTTGTATAAAAAATTATGAAAACATGTAAAACTAAATTTTACATTAAAATGTAAGAGGGCGGGTTTGTGTACAAGTAACACACTTGCCATAATTTATACGACAAATACGTACAGGAGAAGGCACAACTAAAATACTACTCCAAAGTCATCTGCACTTAATAGTTCACCTCATTTACACAGCAAAACCTAACTAGATAAGAATTGCAAGGGCCAAAGCAAAGGAAGTGCTAGAATGAGATGCAATACAGTTTTTCTGGACAATTGATTTGTACCAAATAAAAAAAAAATCAAATCAAAGATCATAATAAGATCCGGAGTGCATTTCAGATGGCACCAAACTTATGGATCTTAAACCTTCAGACAGTTCAGGACCAGCGTTTTACCACCAACAAAATTAAACCATTTACGACAACACCAGGGCTTGTAATTAGTATTTAGTACACCCAAAAGGAAATGGAAATGGAATGGCATCAATGGTTTACAGGAGGCTGTAGGGATAGGGGAAAACACAGATACTGGGATTACAACCCCAGACCCACTGGATTTCAACTTTTAAGAGTTACTGGGTTCAAACGCCAATCATTCTAATGTCACTGACCAATGTGTATACCAGAAACCTTTTATATTGATAAAATTTCCAAAGGCCTCTGCCCATAAAAATGATTGCTACTAACTTTGATCTGAAAGGATAAGAATTAAGAATACATGAACAAATGTAGTGGGGTTAAAAGAAATAAGACCCCTTCTATGGAGACCATGGAA